TTTTTTTAACCTTGTAGTCTTGTAACTTCTGCATTATATTGAATGTTACTGCCTTATCCTTGTTAGTAAGAATATCAACATCGTGTTTGTGTTTCTTAAATAAACGTTTTTATATTTGCAGAAGTGCATTTTGCATTTTAAAGGAAACAAACAAACCAGTAAATGCAGTATACTACTTAATTTAGACAAAGATCCACTAATTTAAAGCTGGAAACTTTAAAGCCCAGTTGCATTTTTTCAAGCTGTTGAGGCTGAGAAAAACCAGTTTAACTCTTGTTTGCAGTAGAGGTGGTCTGCTATCATATTATCTATTTAATCAATGATATCCAGCCAGTCACTGGAGAACAAATGTTTTCAGATGTGTTTGATGCAGCACATGTATGCCAAGGAAAAACACGATATTAAAGACACTACTTGTCTCACCCTTATGTGTAAGCTGAAGCTTCCTGGCCACCGTCAGGGAGTCAGTCTTCCTCTTTAACTGCTGGGCAGAAGCTGGTAAAGACACTGTTGTGGTGGTCCTTGAACCAGCAGCTCACTGGAGAGGCAGATCTGTTTAGAAGATCATTTAGTAGTCTCTAGTTTAATTTGCTTTGAATGAATAGTTTGGGCACCATTCACTGGTGATGAATCTTTACTCTGTTTAATCCCAGCAGTCTAACTTCAGCTCTTGTTTTTGCAGGATCTGCAGGAGTCAGATTTGCTCATACAGACATCAGAGTACCAGACTTTTCTGACTACAGGCGTCCAGAGGTGCTCGACCCCAGCAAGTCGTCTCAGGACAGCAGTGAATCCAGGAGAACCTTCTCTTACCTGGTTACCGGGGCGACAGCGGTGGTGAGCGTCTACGCTGCCAAGACGGTGGTCACTCAGTTCGTTTCTTCCATGAGTGCCTCAGCTGATGTCTTAGCCATGTCCAAGATAGAAATCAAACTGAGTGACATCCCTGAAGGCAAGAACATGACCTTCAAGTGGCGAGGCAAACCGCTGTTTGTTCGTCACCGCACAGAGAAGGAGATCGCTACCGAGGCTGCCGTCAGCCTCGCAGAGCTGCGAGACCCTCAGCACGATAAGGACAGAGTCATCGACCCCAGCTGGGTCATCGTGCTGGGAGTGTGCACACATCTGGGATGTGTACCCATCGCCAATGCCGGCGAATACGGCGGCTACTATTGCCCCTGCCACGGCTCGCACTATGATGCCTCTGGCCGCATCAGGAAAGGCCCCGCCCCCCTCAACCTGGAGGTACCTTACTACGAGTTTCCAGATGACGACACAGTGATTGTGGGATAAATGGCACTCACA